AAGGGGGCAAGACATTTATAAAGCAATAATGGGAATGCTGAATGAAAGAGGGTGCAGCTGCCTTTATTCATAACTGTGCAGCTCTTACACTGCGACTCTGAGGGATCAAGCACAGACACAATAACAATGAAAACTGCTGCATACAGATTATTTTTGTTTTTGCAACCTCGTGTTAAGAATCTTGTTGCAATTGTTTAAAAGTTTGAATGACCGTAATAAACTGACCTTTGTCTTATTGGAAAAAAATGTTGGACCTTTAAGATTTGTATTTGAGTACCCCTGGTTTAGACTATATTCTTGTAAAAAAAAGTGCATGCCCAAACGGTTTAGACCAGGGGTCGGCAACAGGCGGACCGCGGTCCGGATCCGGACCCAGGCGCCGACCTATACGGACCCGGACCTATAATCAATACATTAATAGGGGATTTCAATTTTGACGGGGCGATTCTATTTTAGAAAGAAAGAGACATTAGATAAATCTAACCAGTCCAAGAGCCACAATCTTAAATCCTCAAAGGTCCTTCAGGGGCTTTGTGCAGAATGTGGCCTTATTGATGTATGGCGTCAACTAAATCAGGATGTCAAAGATTACACTTTCTTTTCAAATGTCCACAACTCTTATTCTAGAATAGATTCTTTTTTTATTCCCTCAAAATACATGCATAGGGTAAAAGAATGTAAAATTGATTCCATTAATATTTCGGATCATGCAAGAGTTCATGTAACTATTCACTTGGAGAGTGGAGAATTTGTATCCAGGCGCTGGAAATTTGATAACTCCTTACTTAGAGACGAAAAATTCAAATTAAAAATGCGAATGTGGATAAGGTACTATATAAAAGAAAACAATGACCCCTCTATAGATCCGAATATTATTTGGGAAGCTGCAAAAGCTACTTTAAGAGGACTTATTATCTCATACACATCCTTTAAAAAACGTGAAAAAATTAGGCTCAGACAAGAACTTGAAAGAGAAGTAAACAGATGTGAAGCACTTCATAAATCCGCATCAACAGATGAAAACTGGAAACAATTAAACACAGCCAGAGCTAAATTAAATATTGACATAACAAATGAAAATATAACACAAATGAATCTTATCAGACAAAAGAATTATGAATTCGGCAATAAACCAAGTAAACTACTTGCCTATCAATTAAAGAAGGAGCAGGCAGAAAGGGCTATAAAAGCAATTCGTCTGAAAGACAATGAAATAAGCTACCACCCAAAACAGATGAACCAGACTTTCTATGAATTTTATAACAAATTATACAAATCTCAATCTGATTACTCACAAGATGAACTGGACAATTATCTCCATAACATTAATTTACCTACGTTATCTGATTTAGATCAAGAGTATCTAAACTCATCAATTACAGAAGTAGAAGTTCTGGCTGCAATTAAATCTATGCCTATAAATAAAAGCCCAGGGCCAGATGGCTTCTCGGCAGAATTTTATAAAGAGTTTTGGACTGAACTTCAACCTATATTTATGTCAATGGTTACCAACTTCTCTCACAACAGAACACTTCCTCAAACAATGAATCTTGCATATATTACTGTACTACATAAAGATGGAAAAGACTCCTTGAATTGTTCTTCATTTAGGCCTATAAGCCTCTTGGATCATGATTATAAGATTATCACCAAATTATTAGCAAAACGACTGGAAATTATTTTACCTAAACTAATTAGTCCTGATCAAACAGGTTTTGTCAAGGGCAGATATTCTTCTGATAATATAAGGAGACTTTTGAATATTATAAACCATTTGGACACCTGTCAGAGGCCTTCTCTGCTTCTTTCTTTAGATGCCGAGAAGGCGTTTGACAGGGTAGAGTGGAATTTTCTTTTTGCTATCTTGAACAGATTGAATATGGGCTCTCGGTTCATAGAGTGGGTCAAATCAATTTATAAAAATCCTAAAGCAGCGGTTATCACTAACTGCAGTTCCTCGGATTTTTTTCCACTAACAAGGGGGACAAGACAGGGATGTCCACTGTCGCCTTTGCTTTTTGCTATTGTAATTGAACTACTGGCGTCATGTGTGCGAGACAAGATGGGTATTAAAGGAGTGAAGATTAACGATGAACACAAAATGTCTCTGTATGCTGACGATATCATTCTTTACTTAACAGACCCAGAAAATTCAGTACCACATCTGCACGACACGATAGAGCAATTTGGAAGATACTCAGGATATAAAATTAATTTTAAGAAATCTAATGCTTGTTTCTTACATATGACGCCAACAGCAAATCTGGAAAAGTCTTGTTCTTTTCATTTGTCACCAGGTGGCTTTAAATACTTAGGAATAAATATAACACCACACCTGGATAATCTGTTTAAAGAGAATTACAATCCGCTCATTGACAAAATCAAACAGGATTTATCTAAATGGTCCACATTGCCAATATCACTGCTAGGAAGAATCAATGTCATAAAAATGAATATTCTACCGAGATGTAATTTTCTTTTTCAAATGTTACCATGCTATTTATCCGCTGACTATTTTAAATCTCTCAATATACATATCTCAACATTTATCTGGTGTAATAAAAAACCAAGAATCAAGTTAATTACTCTTATGAAACCAGAAACTATGGGGGGACTTGGTCTTCCTAACTTTCAACACTATTTCTGGTCAGCTCAATTAAGAAATGTACTATCATGGTCTCTGGGAAGAAATGATTCACTATGGGTTCAGATAGAAGCCAATGTCTTTGACCCGCTGCCAGTGGAAACTCTTATATTTGTTAAAGATTTCAATAAGGTGAAGAATATGGACAAATGTTTTACAGTGGTCAATACACTTTTAGCCTGGAGGGACTGTACAAAAAAAGCTCATGTTAACTCTGGTATTTCCATCTTTTCTCCTATTTTGAACAATCCGGATCTTAGCAAATATTTGTTGTCAATCGATATAAACAAATGGACGAAATCAGGTATAAAGCAATTGAAACATTTGTTTCACAAAGATATAACAATGAAATCATTTAATGATTTAAGAGCAGAATATGACATTTCAAATAAGGATTTTTTCAGATACCTGCAAATTAGGAACGTGATCCAATCAATTATTAAAAGCAATAAATTGAGACCGGGATTGTTAGAAGAGGAGGAGATATTGATGTCATCGAGCACGATCAAAGGTAAAATTAGTGAATTTAATGCAGTTTTTTCTAAAAGAGCTCAGTCATCATTTCTAACCTTAAAAAAGATCTGGGAAAAGGATTTAGGGATACAGATAGATGAAACTACTTGGCTGAACATTTGTGAAAGAACACATTTTCCATTCACAAGCAATAAAATCAAAGAAGCAAACTTTAAATTTATCAACAAATTCTACCTCACACCCATAAAGATGCATAACATTTCCAAAGAAAACTCTCCAAAATGTCCGAGATGTAAAATAAAAGAAGGAACATTTATGCATCTGTTTTGGGATTGTGATGTCTTGAAACATTTCTGGGATTCGATTCATGCTCTCACAAAAGCCGTTTTAGACATCGAAATTAGCCTAAATCCATGTTTTTTCCTGTTAAATGACATGCCAAACTTTAAACTGAACCCAAAACATTACAGAATACTAATCACAATAACATATTTTGCCAAGAAATGTATACTTTTATTCTGGAAGAATGAACGTCCCCCAACATTTAAACTTTTCATTGATCAGATAACACATTTTTTACCTCTGGAGAAAATGACATTGGAAAAATATAATCGTGGACATATTTTTCAAGCTCTGTGGTTGCCATTGTTTTCGTATTTGGAAATTTACAAAAATAAGGTCAGCTCTTGTTGTTGGTCTCCATCACCTTCACAATCCTGTCTACCAAGCCAAGCATTGAGTGGCTGTTCTGCTCAATTCTGCTGAAAACCTGTAGGAACTCAGTTTTGGCAGTATGCACCTCCTGAAGCATCACCTGGCCCTGCTCCAGTAGCCTTTCCTCCCTCACGTCACTTTTCTCCATATACATCAGAAGGCCAGATGACGAATCCCGCTTCCTTTTAACTACAAAGGGAAAAATAATTAAGTCAACACAGTATTCATGACATGTTATGAGATGTATATTATATACTGTGTGATGAAATGTTGTATTGTTATTATGGCTGCAGTTGCATAACTTGAACAACTACAATGACTATGCCATGATAAATGCACATGGCAACAGGGAACAGTATTACTATAGTGATCACTGTAAACCTTACCCTGTTTGTGTCGGCCCACTGGCTGGATTAGGTTCACCAGACATTCCTGGGAAGAGCTGCTTGTCGTAAGAGGAGACCCTTCCATCCGCACTGGCGAGCTACACGCCGACGGTAGTGGTGGTTCCGACACAGTATACGCTCCAAACCAGATATTTCTGTAAACACAATATAAACACAATGAACAAAAGTAGCCCTTCAACAAATCATAAATCGTTAGTGAGAAGAAAGAAGATACATTGGAGGCGTTAGCTGTCTTTGCCATGGGGATACCTTTGTTTATTATTGTTAGCATTAGCATGCTAGCGCTATTATTGGTTTGGATGCACATCCGGTAGCTGTAGTGAGTTTGGTAGAAATATACTGTATAATAGTACAGTTATAGAAGATGATGCCATATTTGTTGAAGATTTTTACAAATATTCACCAAAATTATTCAAAACCATATTCTTCCAAACTCTCTACTGTAGTATGACCACCAGGAGACTATTGATGTGTGTAGTGAGTTTGGTATAAATATACTGTACAATAGTAACGTTATTGAAGATGATGCCATATTTATTGAAGATTTTACATTATAAATATTCACCAAAATTATTTAAAACTATATTCTTCCAAACTCTCTGCTGTAGTATGACCACCAGAAGACTATTTATGTGTTTAGTGAGTTTGGTAGAAATATACTGTATAATAGTACAGTTATTGGATATTATTGTATTCTCTTTTTTCGGAGTTGCACTTTGCAGACGGTCCCTGAGCACTCGTTTCTTCTCCGGCTGCGGAAAGAGACCAATTTAATGTGTCCTGCTCGGAGGACGGCGCATATTGGCTTTTTTTGATCAACATGTGATTGTAGTTCGTTGTCAACCTTACCACGGTACTTAGGAGACGTAATTTGTGTCTGAATAACGTTTTGTTCATCAGTTATTGATCCATGAAATCCGAATCTGCCAATATCGTTCTAACTTTACTGAACTATATTAGTTCCGATTATGCTGTTCTGCCTGCAACAACCAGTTTAGCCAGTTCTTGACACACACAACAAAAACCGATGTGTTTTTCTCCACTACGCCGCCAGCTCTGAGGTTATTCCGCGACGAAGTCCTGCTGCTTTCATAGTAACAACAGTTTATAACCCGTAGTCAACGATGAATCCCGAATAGTAAGTGGGCATTTTTATTGTTGATTAGTTACTTTACTCGCAGGGCCGCCCCTCCCTGGCAGATCACGCAGACTGCGAACGGAGGGTGCTTCATTTTGCGGAGGGAGCAGGGTTCGAGTTATAAACTGAACTCTATGGGGGTCTTTAAAACTAACGCGTGCGCGCACGCACGCACGCACACACACACACACACACACACACACACACACACACACACACACACACACACACTCAAACACACACACAGCAGCAGCCCTCTACTTGCTACAAACTTAAATATGAAAAGGTTCAACTACGCACGCACACATCATCTCGGCTCGCGCAGCACGCTCACAGGCATAGATTGCGCAATAATGTATTGTTCACCTTGGAGGTGCAGTGCAGGCATATTGTCATTCAAGAGATGCGTAGTTCTTTTGGAAAACATGTTTTTCTTTTAGCCCATTTACCTCGTTAACGTAAATAATACTCATTACATTGACACATGCATTATTTGAGATTAAAATAATGGTTGTTGGTAATGTATTAGCGACCCCCACAGATGTATGATTTCACTGCGTCCGTGGGAGCTCAGGCCCCTCCTTATGGGAGCTCAGCTCCCATTGGCTCCCACATAACTCGAACCCTGCGAGGGAGCCTCATCTGAAGCGCAAATGCGGCGCACCTACAGTGGGGTCCGTCTGCGTCGCGTTACGGCCACGTTACGGCCACGTTACGGCCACGTTACGGCCGCGTTACGGCCGCGTTACAGCGGCGTTACGGCTGTGCCGCGGCGTTTGCAAAGATCGCGGCCACTCTAGTCAATGGGTGCTATTCCACCAGACGCACCGCGTTACGGCACAGAAGCGTCCCAGAAGCGTCTCGGCGCTGGGCTCCGCTCAAAATAGGATGCAAGCAGTGTTCGAATTACCCATTTGCTTTCGGGGGAGCCCTATTTTTCAGTGCACATCCTGCTACTAAATATGTCACACGCACGCTCTGTTGACTGGCGCAGCAGCGCGGATTCGATCAATTGCTATAAAATCACTCTGCTACTACTACAGGCGGTATTACTACGCCGGCGGCTGTGGCCGTTGTTGAAGCCTCTTCAGGCTCCGCATCGGCAGGCCTCTTCCTCGGTGTGGAGCTGTCAAACTCGACCCTAACGCTGCTACAGCCGGCCAACTAAAAGTTGTTCCGTTCACGTTGTCATTTTTAGACTCCTTCGCTTCTTTGCTTGTGAATCCAAAAGCTGCAACGCTTGGCTGTTTTCGTTTTGCCATATTTTTTATTACAAAGCCAGAGTTAAAAAAATATCAATATGAACATTTCAAATACTGCGCCGGCATCGCCACCGTAACCACTGACACAGACGGACCCCGACTGTTGCGTCGCCTCGCGTCTCTGCGTTTTGGCCAAGAAGCACGTACGAACTGCGCATGCGTGAGTGGCAATAACTCTCCTTACCAGCAGGCGGCGGTAGTGTGTATTCGTCATTCAAAAGAGGCAACAACCGGAAGACAGACTGCGTGATAAGCGAGAGAAGAAGAACAGACTGCTTGATATAAACAAACAACAAATAGCATGTGAGTTCCATTTTCACTCTACAACGAGAAGCTCATGGGGCTTTCCCGAACCTGTGTCGAGAGCTGGAGTTAAATGAAATCTCAGATTTGCCTTCTTAATAGTTTGTTTGGGTCCGTCACTTCCGTTTCGCTTCTCATGCACTGATTCGCTAGCCAAAGGCAGTCTTTTGCCGACTGCCTTTGGCCGACTGCCCTTTCGGCCCGAAAAGGCGTCGGTACGGCTGAAAAGACCCGACGGTGCGGGACACACCAATCTGAGTAGGCCGTGTCGACGCTCATCGTCGGCCTGACGCCCACCGAAAGGACAGGAATGTGACGGGTGAGTTGCAAACTGTGTCCAGGCCAGAAGCTTTTATCCACTGCTGCAAACACTACGTCAAACCTCAACAAGCACCTGCAAAGACAACATGCTAACGTGAAGCTAATAGCTAAGGAGGACCTCCGAATCCAGAGTGAGGATGTCGAGTAAAGTAACGAGTAAACAGCAAACACGCAAAGTTATATGATGAGGCCCCCTGTGTCGCGAGCGTCGTCGACGGGGGGGGGGTGCTAGTGGAGCCTTGCAGCGGCGAAAACTGTGGAGCGCTTACACGCCGCATTTGCGCTTCAGATGAGGCTCCCTCCGCAAAATGAGGCACCCTCCGCCGTCTGCGTGATCTGCCTGTAGGGAGGGGCGGCCCTGCGAGTAAAGTAACGAGTAAAGTAACGAGTAAAGTAACGCGTTATTTTATGGAGAGAGTAACGAAGTAAAGTAATATATTACTTTTTTTTAAAGTAATATGTAATGTAACGACCCCATCTCTGATTATGATATTTCAGTACCTGACAAAACATCATTTTTTTATATAGTTTTTATTTAGATAAAAAAAAAAAGTGCCCTTTTTAACAAAATAAACTATTCGAAGATATTTATTAAATAGTCAATAACTTTACAAAAATGTAAATAAGACAAGGATCAAAGGGCACAGGTGTAAGAACATGACAAAACATTCAACCCAAGATTAATTTATAAAGTATTTGTTTTTAGTATTACAAATCTAACAAGCCTCTATTTATTATGTGATCAAGGAGCTGTTTTGATAATTATTTTTGCGTTAATGTTGTTTCTACTCCTCTCTCCTCACAGTGACTATTTATTCAAGCTGCTCCTGATCGGGGATGCTGGTGTCGGAAAGTCTTGCCTCCTCCTCCGGTTTGCAGTAAGCGTTTCAGCCACTGCTACAACAGGCTTTTATGTTTTCGGCCTGTCACTGCTGTGATAGTTGTTTGTGTTATCCTAGGATGATACGTACACAGAGAGCTACAAATTAACCATCGGTGTGGACTTCAAGATCAGGACCATCGAGCTGGACGGAAAGACCATAAAACTTCAGATTGTAAGGAGAACGTAGCGCAATCGGGCTGTAAAGAGATAAGCAGTGATACACGTTGAATTATCTTTGAATCTGTTGGACTGACGAGATCTGTTTTTCTTCCTCAGTGGGACACGGCTGGTGCGGAACGTTTCCGCACCATCACGTCCAGTTACTACAGAGGAGCACTAGGCATTATAGTAGTTTATGATGTGACAAATCAGGTCAGTGCTTCACAAATAATATTTGTTTTTATTGCTGTCGTCATCCAGTCATACAGTAATGCTAATAACTAACTAGACAATGCATTTCCTGCAGAAAATGCGTGCGAATGCTGTAAACTGTGAACATTTGTTGCTGAATTTAGCTGAAAATGCAGAAAAAGCTGAATATTTTATTAGCTGAATGGTAGCTGCTTTTACCTACAAAAACCAAGTAAGTGTGCGGAGAACTTAGCGGAGAAATGCAGAAAAGTGAAATGATTTGAATCAAATTGTTACAGCTCAAATGCATTGCAATGACTTTGTTGAAAACTTGAAAGTGAAATGTTAAACTGGAAGAGTAGGAAAAATAGTAAAGAAGCTTAATATTTAAAAGAAAAGGTTTAAAAAAGGTATAAACAACAACATGTATAGCCTCAATGTCCTGAAATAGCTGAATAATGTAATAGTTGAATGGTTTCTGTAGCTGAAAGTAGGCTGAAGGAGTTAAATATTAAATGTAAGTAGTAGTGAATTAATGTGTATTAAGAAGAGAAAAGAAAGTAAAAAGGCTTGGGAAAGCAGCAGAATATTTTGACTGGAAACTTTTCGACTAAAACCATATGTCATCAATAATGTATAAAATATGTGGAACATGTTGAAGTCAGTATGAAGTCTCCATCAGACAGAAAAGAATAGGCTGAGACAGTCTGTTAAAGTCCAGTCTGTTTGTCAGTGTTTGTTTCTGTATTGAGCACCAAATCATAACAAATAATCATAACACCTGTGTGAGCCCAGAGATCAAAGGTTTCCATGGCAGTAATCAGTGAGAGGAGATTATTTCCATTGGTCTGAATGAGAGATAAACCTCTTACATTTGAACGATTTGTTGAAGAACCGTAGCAGATATCGGTGAAATGTCAACGCGTGAAGCGTCTCAGGATCCTGACGAGCTTCTGAAGTGTGCTTTTTGTGTACTTTCGTGTCAATAATGTGACCTTTTTGGCAGATTAACTAAAGGTGTGCAGCTGCTGCTGTGAAGAAAGAGCAGCAATAGGCCTTAATGGAGACATGTTGAAAGTTGTTGTCACTTCATGCCCTCAAGAGGCATTTTGTTTAATTAATTTTGCCTCATTTATTTTTATTTTCCAACCTAGGAGAGGTTTTCCTACGTTTTTCATGAAAAATGATGTCCAAGGAGTGTAGGGTTTGGGAATTATGGCAGGTTTAAGCTGTCCTCCACTCTGTTTTGAGATCAAAGCACTGTAGACTTAACGAGCTGCCCAATACACACAATGTTAAAATCTGAAGAAGGCCTCTTTACCAAGCTCCAAACTAAGTTAAATATCTCAAAAAGTGTAAAAGATATCAAATATCTGAATGGGATTTGAATAGCTGAAGGTCTTGCGATCATTTTAAAGTTGGAATGAAGTCTCTAGCTGAAAGTATGTGGAAGGAGTAGCATTTGGCGCAAGGTGTAGTTAAAAGAGGATTTGAAGGTTCCTCCCATTGAGTTCCATGTTAAAAAAAGAGTTTAAAAAGCTGGATATTTCAAAAAGTATAAAATATTTTGAAAAAGTTGAAAGTTTCCCATCGATTGCTGAAAAGGCTGAATAGTTTGATATTTGAATGGTTTCTGTAGCTGAAAGTATGCTGACGTTATTGAGAGCCAAAGTATTGGTTGATTCGAAGATTCCAAGAACTATAGTGGAATGCTGTGGCACAGCATTCGCACTAATAACAGTTTTTTTCCAATGTTAATAATCTGTTTTAATGTCTGTCCTCTTTCTGCTGCCTTCCCTCAGGAGTCCTTCAATAATGTCAAACAGTGGCTACAGGAAATCGACCTTAACGCCAGCGAGAACGCCAACAAGCTGCTAGTAGGCAACAAGTGTGACCTCATGAAGAAAGTCGTGGATTACACCACAGCTAAGGTGAGGCAATGCAAAAGCTGAGACTCTTTGAGACACTTTGTCCAGATATCTGTATCCAAAGGGGAAATGAGATAAGTACGAGCTGACTGAGCAGCAGTTCGGTCGGTTTTCTTTAGCCACTGTAGTCTCACTGTGATAGGCTGCGTCTCAGGTCGACTATATTCATTTCCTCGGTCGTCGGTCCTCGGTATCACCGGAAGTTGATTTGTCTGCGCCATCTTGAGTAGCGTCCCATGGCTCTTATTTCTGCCGGAGGACCGAGGAGCGAGGAGCGAGGAGCGATAATGGAGGAGCGATAACCGAGGAACCACCAGACCATCCTCCGGTGAAATCCTCAGATACTCTCCCCGCCCCCTTACTGTGTATCGCTCACTGATTGGACGATGCAGTGCATGCACTGATCTGTTGCTTCTTGACATGAGAGCAGTTTCCCAGCGGAGTGAAGAAAACACATGAAACTCACGGGACTCACTCCTCAGTTTATACTGTGTTTTGTTTCAATTAATGCATCATTTAGTTACACATATGTGATATATCTGAACAACAAAGTGGTCAAAAATTATTTTATTCATTTATTGGAAACATTTTCATGATCGCTTTTTCGTTTTACATTTTCATTTATTGTCATTTCCATTCAGTCAGTCATTAAGTGCTATTTAAAATGTTAATTTGCTACATATCCACACAAACAAACAGTGTGCAATCCAATGAATGTTAATCTAACTGGGTTTTGATAGATAACATATCTCTTTTTCTTCTCTCAATTATTTTATTTCTATTGTGCACTCTAATCAATATTAATCCAACTATTGTTCGTTTATACATTTTAAGAATGGCGTTTATCTTTTTTGAGAATGAGTTCTTATTTTATTTAATGTATTTGGGTCTACAACAGATGATACACATGTTTGTGTCAGTAAATGTGTACTAACAGAGGCGGGGGTGTTTGTGAAAATAACGGGGACAGAGCTGCTGTCAGACGAACAGCTGTGCAGCGTCATCACAAACAGACGTCGCTTCACGTGACGCTCCGGAGGAAAGGACGTCCCATTGCTCTTAAAACTCATTTCCCTGCTTCTCATGGTTTCCTTGCGTCTCTCCATGCTTCCCTGGTGGGAGGGACTAAATAGTAAAATAAACGCAGGGAAACTACGCAAGTGAGGGACGCAAGGATTCCATTTAATCGACCTGAGAAGCAGCCATAGCCTTGAAAATGTGATGAGCTCAGTTTGTATTGTGAGGTTTAAAAGAGAAATCATGAACATGTACTCGACTGAACATCCAGCAGCTGGTCAGACAGCTAGCTGAACTGTGGGGAATTATTAAGAAGTTCAATATTTTTGCCATTTTCAACCATATTTGGGTTGATATTGATATTTTATGCGGTTATTGACTTTTTTATTCAGTTGCAATGTCATTTTTATGGTCAGACCAAGTATTTTTAAATCTCTTTTTCTGAAAATATACAATTAACACAGACGAGTCAACCCAATCAAGCCATCATGTCTCAGGTCACCAGTCTTAAACTTCAGAATCAAAGTGTTTTTAACCGTGTCAAGCTGAAAGTTGTCAACTTAACTTGAGTCAAAGTCAAAATGATTCAACAGTTCTGATTTGGCTCTAACATCCTCAGGTTATTCAGGGCACAAAATGACCGAACCATTTAAATGAATATTTCCTGTAAATAACCAGAAATTCTCTGTTTGCTACCGAGACTCTTAATTCCACCTCACACAGCTCAGTTTGCTTTACAACTACAACTAAGAAAACTAGTAACTTAAAAGACTGCACGTTTTGGTTGAAAGCTATGGAAAAAGCAAGCAAGTGGGACTTTTTATACAATTGACACTAAAGATTTTCCTTGGTCAGAGAATATTTAACTAAAGTTAAATTTAAAATCACCATGAAAACCGAACGGTCTCATGAGCAGCAGTTATTGAGTTTTTACTCACACAATCATCCTTAGCAGATAGTTTGTTTTCAAGATATTTCATTTATTTAATATCCGTTGATTTTAATCTCTTCGATCTCCAGGAATTTGCCGAAAACTTGGGCATCCCCTTCTTGGAGACCAGCGCCAAGAGCGCCACCAACGTGGATCAAGCCTTCATGACCATGGCGGCGGAGATCAAGAAGAGGATGGGCCCCGGGGCCACGGACGGGTCCTCGGAGAAGTCCAACGTGGAGATCCAGAGCAAGCCGGTCAACACCTCCTCCGGAGGCTGCTGCTGACCCCCATATCTGTGATGGTTTCATCTGAATAATACCCAGAGAGAGACATTTTGAAACAGCCTATCTCCTCGCTGATGGTCTTGTTTGCTCATATCATGTAAAGGCATCAGCACTATATTGATTGTTTCATAAACACAAGATGAGAAATCTGAGTTCTTCTTTCACCACTGCTTAAAAGTTTATGACAACCCAGAATATCAACAAAGGTGGGAGAAGTACTCAGATCTTGTACTTAAGTAAAAGTAGAAGTACCAGAGTGAAGGAATACTCTGTTACAGTAAAAGTCCTGCATTCAAAATGTAACTCAAGTAAAAGTACAAAAGTATTAGCATCAAAATATAGTTGAAGTACCAAAAGTACAAGTAGTCATTGTGCAGATTGGTCCATTTCAGAATAATATATATGATATGTTTTATAATGATTGATCATTAAAGTGTTCTCAAAGCTGGTAAAGGTGCAGCTAGTTTGAATGACTCTGTATACTGCAGGGTAGCTTGTGAATTTACTCCAGGTGGAACTAAAGTCTGATTTAACACTTGATTATATTTCACATCATTAATCCAGATATGTTAAGTAACTAAAGGTATTAAATACATATACTGGGGTAAAATGTATTATTTATAGTTAGCTCTGAATTGTATTGGAGTAGAAGTACAAAGTAGCACAGATTAGAAGTACCTCAAAATGGTATTTAAGTACAATACTTTGGTAAATATTCTTAGTTACTTTACACCACTGAACAGCAGTTAAACTTCACTTCACTTTTTCCACTTTTATTCAGAAGTTATAACCTTCTAAAAATATGTTATGTCTCCAGATTTACAAAATAAAGATTTTGCTGATTTTACTTTCAATTAATTATTAATAATATGGGGGTTTGGACTGATATCTGAATCATTTATATGAGAGTTTTATTATAATTGTGACACCATATATTTTTCAAAATAATTATCAGATTAATCCATAATTTTAAATGATAATTTATCAGATTTATCTGAACTGTAGAATTATACTTTTAGCCTACATTTAAGCCATCTTTCAGATTTTTTGTTAGGATTTTTACTTTTTATTGCAGGACTTTCTGCACTAAAAGTGAAGTATTAGTACATTTAAATAATATCCTACTTGTATATTGTGTTAGCTGCAATTTGGCCCTTCAATAGCGTTTTATTTGTCAGATAGTTTCAAGATTGTTATCTTTACGGTGTTCATATTTCATAATTGTTTATTTTCTACTCTTTTTCATTTCTAATGATGTGCAATGCCTTGTTTTACACACTGCTGTCAGGAAAACATGTCCCAATTTGGGATCTATAAAGTATATCTTATCTTATCTAATGTTATTTACTGACTAACTTGATCTGATTAATTGTTTCACCATGGAAATACAAAAATACTGTAAATTGTACACCTGACTGCAGTGTAAACGCCCATTGCCACAAGACTACACTACCCATGATTCCCATCGTGTGGTATTTCCGGGTAGGTATTGCTGACAGCCATATTTGATTCGATTATGCTGTTCTCCCTGCGACAACCAGTTTAGCCAGTTCTTGACACAAAAAAAAACAGAAAACGGTGTGTTTTTCTCCACTACGCCGGCAGCTCTGAGGTTATTCCGCGACGAAGTCCTGCTGCTTTCATAGTAACAACAGTTTATAACCCGTAGTCAACGATGAATCCCGAATAGTAAGTGGGCATTTTTATTGTCGATTATGACAGGTCCGGTTGAGCTGTCAGCTTAGCCGGGGAAGCTATCGTTAGCTTAGCCTGGGAAGCTAACGTTAGCTTCCCAGGCTAACCGTACAAAATGAACGTCAGCTGCTTTGTCTTCGTTGCTATGCTAGCGAGTTATGGGGCTGTGGTTTTTTTCGTGTACGCACTATCAAATGACAGCGTTGATATTTACCACAATATTCACGCTTGTCAGCATTTTCTGTTCAATATAACACCAGCTAAATCTAGGTATTATTTGTTTTCGGTCAACAATGTTTGTTAGCTCACTTTATGGTAACTGAAATGGGTGTAGCATTGTTAGCTAGTTGGCTAGCTAGCTCACGGCGTAGCTACGTAGCGTTACTGTTGGGGATTTTGTTATTGTAATGGTTAGGGCACATAGTGACAGTTTGATAGTCCACAGTCCTCTCAGTAAACCTGAAACTACTCGATTTATCTTAACTGCTTTGGTGTAGGTTTATGGGTAGTTTCAGTGTTATTCACCGCAAACAGGAAGTCACTGAATGTGATCCTGATGATGTGGAGTTAGTTAGGTAATACCAGTCTCTCTGTTACTTCACTACAGCAGAGGTGGAAGAAGTACTCAGATTCTTCATTCCTCTACAGTCTTAAAATACTCAGTTACAAGTAAATGTTCTGCATTCAAAAGTGTACTTAAGTAAAAGTAACAATACTACAGTGTAGAAATAGAAAGTACTGTACTTGAGTATAATATTCAGGTATTTGTTCTTTAGCATTTTCAAATGATACTACTTTACACTGTGAGTCCGCCCCATTTTGTAGGCAAATGTTGTACTTTTTACTCCACTACATTTATTGTACATATTTAGTTACTACTAGTTACTTTGCAGATTTAGGTTAATACAACATATAAATAGATGCATACATTATTATAGGCTAAGCTACCCAGTAGTGTGTAAAGTAATTCAAGTAAACCCCATGGTTAACCAAGTACAACATTGAAGTAATGAAAACATGAATGCACCAAAAAATATCTGGTGTTTAAATGGGTCATTCTGCATTAAGATTACTTTTCGTTCCTAAAGTTTATTTTTAGGCCAGTACTTTTACTTAAGTAACATTTTGATTGCAGTACTTTGACTGTAACCATAGGCGGAAGAAGTAGTACATCTTGTACTTGTGTGTAGGAATACTCTGTTGTAGTAAATGTCCTGCATTCAAAAAGTTACTCAAGTAAAATTACAAAAGTATTCACATCAAAATATACTTAAAGTACTAAAAGTAAAAGTAGTCATTGTACAGATTGGCCCATTTCAGAATAATATATATGATATGTTTTATAATGATTGATCATTAAAGTGTTCTCAAAGCTGGTAAAGGTGCAGCTAGTTTGAATGACTTTGTATACTGCAGGGTAGCTTGTGAATTTACTCCAGGTGGAACTAAAGTCTGATTTAACACTTGATTATATTTCACATCATTCATCCACATCTGTAAAGTAACTAAAGGTATTAAATACATGTGGCGGGGTAAAAGTACACCATGTACCTCTGATTTGTGGTGGAGTAGAAGTACACGATGTACCTCTGAACTGTAGTGGAGTAGAAGTACAAAGAAGCATAAAATGGAAATACTCAAGTAAAGTACAAATTTCTCAAAATTGTACTCAAGCACAGTAATTGCGTAAATGTACTTAATTATTTTACATCACAACTTGTAACAGATTATTTAAAAACTGTAGTATTGCTACTTTTACTTAAGTAAATAATACGAGTACTTCTTTCAATACTCAGTTACAAGTTTAAGAAAAACTTCCTCAGGTCTGCAACTGATGATTATTTATAATTATTGAATAATCCGATGATTATTTGATTCATTCTTATGAATATAATATGAAAAATAGAGTAAAACACGTTCCTTCCTGGTTCTCAAAGTCCAAGGTGATATCTTGTTTAGATGAAACCCAAAGATAGTCAGTTCATATTAAAATGTCCATATTCTTTATTGTAAAATAGTAAATATTTGGGGTTTGGGACTGGTGTTCAAACGAAAAAAGTATATTGAGTAACCTTTAGCACTCAAAAGAGATGGACATTTTCCATTTTCTTAATTGAAAGAATAATCAACAATAAAAAGATAATCTATTTGCATCTCAACGATCTTTTTTATCAGCTGCGACTGGGTTTTTAGAGTTTGTGTAATATCAACCCCACTATAATACTTACATTTCATTACCTGACAAAACATAGAACTGCTTTTTTTATATACAATTTGTTTTGCTGACAAAAAGTAAAAAAAGACAAGGGTCAAAGTGCACAGGTGTAAGAAACTGACGCAAGATTAATTGATCAATTAAGTATTTGTTTTAAACATTATGAGACTAACAAACCTTTAATTATTATGGGATTTAGGAGGGGTTTTGATGTTGTTTCTCCTCCTCTCTCCTCACAGTGACTATTTATTCAAGCTGCTCCTGATCGGGGATTCTGGTGTCGGAAAGTCTTGCCTCCTCCTCCGGTTTGCAGTAAGTGTTTCAGCCACTGCTACGTAACAGGCTTTTATGTTTTTGACCTGTCACTGCTGTGATAGTTGATAAACACCCAGACCCACCTGTGTGTTTGTGTGTTATCCTAGGATGATACGTACACAGAGAGCTACATTAGTACCATCGGTGTGGACTTCAAGATCAGGACCATCGAGCTGGACGGAAAGACCATAAAACTTCAGATTGTAAGGAGAACGTAGCGCAATCGGGCTGTAAAAGAGATAAGCAGTGATACACGTTGAATTATCTTTGAATCTGTTGGACTGACGAAATCTGTTTTTCTTCCTCAGTGGGACACGGCTGGTCAGGAACGTTTCCGCACCATCACGTCCAGTTACTACAGAGGAGCGCACGGCATTATAGTAGTTTATGATGTGACGGATCAGGTCAGTGCTTCACAAATAATATTAGTTTTTATTGTTGGGTTTTTATATCCTACAGGTCCCTTTTTTTTTTAAAAACTACAACTCACTATCACCATCCAGTAGGGGTGTAACGGTTCACAAACATTTCGGTTCGGTACGTACCTCGGTTTTTAGGTCACGGTTCGGTATGTTTTCGGTACAGCAGAAGAAATGATCACAAAACATAAAATATTTTTTTGGGGTTTTTAATTATTATTAAACTGTGAATAATGTATTCACTCAAATAAATACAAAATATAATAAAATAAACATTAAGGTGCAGCATTTCGATGAACTGAAATAATCTGTATTTGAACTGTACTGTACTAGTACCTAAGCAGCCAGCTTGACATTAGGACTTGCTTGTCATTGTATTTTCATGTTTTTTTCAAGAAAAATGAACTTGTCCACATTGCTTGCCGAAAGGGCAGATCTGCTGGCACTAACAATGTCTCCTGCTGTGGAGAACACCCTCTCGCTAGGGACAGAGGTAGCAGATACAGCCAGGTAGCGCTTTGCTAACATGGCAACATAAGGATATTTGGCGTTTGTTATAGCTTTGGCTCAGTCTGAACTTTTTGCGAGTGTTGGAGGCTTAAATGCTAGTGGGAGTTGGGTTTGCACTTCAGTCTTTTTTCTTTTGGTACCGGTGATATTCAGGTTCGGGTGATGCCTTTTCAAATGAGTGTGCAAGTTTGATGTATTGCCAGCCGCGTAATCAATGTTAGTTGAACAATGCCGACAAACAGCTTTGGTTCGGTCCACCTGTCTTTGTCCGTCATCCTTATACGTAACTGCGAAACCAAAATGTTCCCAAACCGGAGACTTCAATGATGTTGGAGGATTTTCGAGCTCAACTTTATCTGCGTTCGCCATTTCGACAGTTCCTCAAATTACTGACTACATTTGAACGCATCCCTGTGACCAGCTCTTATAGTATGCCTCTCGTCCAATTAAATGACTTGGTCGCTCGATGACGCGTTGAACCCAATGTGATTAGGGTTTACTCTGAACGCTGCGACACAGCACCTGAGATTACTTCCAAAAAGTTGTTCACGTTCTCAATTTTTTACGTTTAACGTTATATTCGTTCGGTACACTTCGGTACACACGTGTACCGAACCAAAGGGCCCATACCGAATAATTTCGGTACGAATACGTATACCGTTACACCCCTACCATCCAGTCATACAGTAATGCTAATAACTAATTAATGTTATGAACAAGATAAGAAACGCTTTATTTAGGGACAATTTAGGGTTATTAGAAAGAAGATACAAAAAGGAGGATAAAAAACTGAGCGAAGAAAAAAAGAACGTAAGGCCATTATGAAAAATAAGACGCTATATAAAGATACAGAAATATAATGATTGAACTAACGCTACAAACCGTCAGCTAGTGTATGTTAATGTGCTGTATGTACCGTAGTCAAGTACAGTATGTCAAACATGCCGTTAGTTCGTATTTCAGATCAAAGCGTCACCACCAGTAGACCCTAAAAACAACAAGCTTTTTCAAACCTAAAAGAAAATAACAGAAACATTTTTCATTTGACCATTTTAAAAGTGTAGCATGTAAGAATTATTGTTCAAATGTTTTGAGACTTTACTCACGACTGTGTTAAAATACAGTGTAAACAAACCTTTTTGGTAAGACTGAATAGAAAGGACACAGTCTTAATTATCGTTGGCTTGTCTTGACTGATTTAGTAGAATGATACTAATACATCTGTAATTAAACTGTCAATTTCCACAGATTTCAGTAGCATCCTGTGGAGTCTTTCTCTTGTTAAGGCATGCTACCTTTTGAGGAAGCCCCTGGTTTCAATTATCTCGGTTTAGGAATCTTTGGTTTTATTCATAGGAAAAAAACAATGCATCATTGCCCTGTCAGCATTTTCTCCAACAGACCTCTGCTGCAAACCGGATGCCATTGAGTAATAACTGCTTCTTTCAGACGTCAATATCTGTTTTAATGTCTTCCCTCAGGAGTCCTTCAATAATGTCAAACAGTGGCTACAGGAAATCGACCGCTACGCCAGCGAGAACGTCAACAAGCTGCTAGTAGGCAACAAGTGTGACCTCACAACGAAGAAAGTCGTGGATTACACCACAGCTAAGGTGAGGCAATGCACAAAGTTGAGACTCTTTGAGACACTTTGTCCAGATATCTGTATCCAAAGGGGAAATGAGATAAGTACGAGCTGACTGAGCAGCAGTTCGGTCGGTTTTCTTTAGCCACTGTGATAGCCTTGAAAATGTGATGAGCTCAGTTTGTATTGTGAGGTTTGAAAGTGGAACAAATATAAACGTGTAAACGACTGAGCATCCAGCAGCTGGTCAGACAGCTGGCTGAACTGTGGGGAAGTTAAAGATTTTAGCCATTTTCAACCATACTTGTGTTTATATTCATATTTTATACGATTATTGACTTTTTTATTGATTTTAAGTCATTTTTATGGTCAGACCAAGTTTTAAATATCTTTTTTTAAAGTTTGAAAGATTTAATATTAAACTGAAAATATACAATTAACTCAGACGAGTCAATCAAGCCATCATGTCTAATATCACAAGTCTTAAACTTCCAAATCAAAGTACAGTCTAATGCAGTGTTTCTCAAACTTTTTCATACCAAGGACCACTTAACCAATAAAAAAACACTCACGGACCACCTGACTCCACACATATCCCAAAACAATAGGCCTGCTTACCACTCCAACAGTACATAACAAATTACAGCCTAATAATGTCAGCTTAACCTTCTCTGTATCGCCTCGTTCACACAATAAATCAACAATACAAATGCAACTACAGATTATATAAGCATTTTGTTCAAATGCGATTTAAAATGCTCACAGGTTTTACACCTCTTATGAAATGTAGACTACATTTATTACGGAGTTTATGTCCGAGCCAACAGACTCACAGATCGTTGGCTACTGAGAGATATGCAAAACACACCGCATGTAGTACGACACAAACCTCCGCTGTGGATTTTCAAAACAAAATACAGTAAAACTGGTCGCAGGCCCAAGTTTAACTCTCTGAGGTCTAAGCCATATTTTCACATGTTAGGCTCGCCTTTGGCTTTTTTTGTAAAAATGCTGTTAAAACATGAACCTTGGTGACCATCGGGCTGGCCTGCATGGTCTGCCTACAAAACAAAAATAAAAAAACGTTTATGCAGCCCCAACCTCTTCATGCAATGCTTCATCGGATGCATATATTAGATAATAATCTCTATCTAACTCCGAACACATCTAAATCTACTTCCAGCAGGGATAAATGTTCATAAAAGACATCCATTGTTTGTTTTATATGCTTCTTGAAATACAAATAAAAACACATTGTTTTTCTAGAACAGATTACAAATCGCCTGAAAATGGTACAAACAAGTGGCAACATGTGTGACGAAGGTGTTGGGCTATATCATGCAATCGAGTTAAGCTCGCTCCATTGCGGAGATGTTCCCGCGAGAGTGCGGAAAACTTAAATAAATAAATGTATTTCAAATGTTACCAATATACTCACGGACCACACTTTGAGAAGCACTGGTCTAATGTCATTTGTTTTCACCATTTCCTAGCTGAAAGTCGTCAAGTCATCAGTGAGTCAAAGTCAAAATGATTCAACATTTCTGATTTGGGTCAAACACCCTCAGGTTATTCAGGGCACAAAATGACCAACTGAACCATTTTAATTCATATTTCACACAGCTCCGTTTGCGTTACAACTAAGAGAACTACTAACTTAAAGGACTGCAAGTTTTTGTTGAAAGCTATGGAAAAAGTGGGACTTTTTATACAATGGACACTAAAGATTTTCTTTGGGCAGAGATTATCCAACTCGAGTGAAATTTGAAAATCACCATGAAAACCAAACGGTCTAAAGACGAGGTTTCTTAAGCAGCAGTTCAAGGTTCTTTATTGTCAATCTGACATAGCTACAGAGTAATTATGTAGTTGAAAATCTTATGTCACAGGCTTCTCCAACAATGCAACATAATAACATAACATAATAACAATAAGAGCAAGAGCAATACAAAAATAATAATAGTGATGATGTGGAATAGTGCAGTACGAGTCTATATACAAGTTATTGGAATGATATATATATATTAGGTATTAGATACATACTACTGAGTAGCAGATGAATGTTTGAAGTTGTTTCAACAGTTCAATTTTTTAACAGTCTCACTGCCCGCGGGAAGAAACTTCTTTGGTTTTCAATCTTGTCACCCAATCCTCCTCAGTAGATAGTATGTTTTCAAGAAATGTAATTTATTTAAAGGTCACCTATTGTGCAAAATCCACTTTTCCATGTCTCTTCTACATCACCATGTGTCCCCTCTTCTTCATGTCTCTTCTACATCAACATGTGTCCCCTCTTCTTCATGTCTCTTCTACATCAACATGTGTCCCCTCTTCTTCATGTCTCTTCTACATCAACATGTGTCCCCTCTTCTTCATGTCTCTTCTACATCAACATGTGTCCCCTCTTCTTCATGTCTCTTCTACATCAACATGTGTCCCCTCTTCTTCATGTCTCTTCTACATCAACATGTGTCCCCTCTTCTTCATGTCTCTTCTACATCACCATGTGTCCCCTCTTCTTCATGTCTCTTCTACATCACCATGTGTCCCCTCTTCTCCATGTCTCTTCTACATCAACATGTGTCCCCTCTTCTTCATGTCTCTTCTACATCAACATGTGTCCCCTCTTCTTCATGTCTCTTCTACATCAACATGTGTCCCCTCTTCTTCATGTCTCTTCTACATCAACATGTGTCCCCTCTTCTTCATGTCTCTTCTACATCAACATGTGTCCCCTCTTCTTCATGTCTCTTCTACATCAACATGTGTCCCCTCTTCTTCATGTCTCTTCTACATCAACATGTGTCCCCTCTGTGTAAAGAGACTCTGAAAGTTTCAGGAAAAAAGATTCTCTCTTTTTGTCCTGATCCATTTTTACAAAAACCTGAAAATGAGCTGATCAGATTTTGGCCACTTAATGATGTCATAACGATTTGATGGCTTGTGTAACTATTAGCCAATCAGCAACCAAGGTAACCCCCCCCCCCCCCCACCTTATCACCTGAATCTCCTCCTAGAGCACCATTGTGTTCTTTTTAACCAAATATCTCTCAGAGGGGCGTGGGGAGGGGCTCCTTATTTTCATCTAAAGTAACAGACAGAGAATCAGCACTTTGGAAACAGGGCTGAAACAGAGGGGATTATGGGATGCTGCTATGATCTGTTTGGTGTTTCAGCCAATCAGAGACAGGTTCTGTATATATCTGAGACCTGTGATATATTGATGAAAAACAGTATAATAGGGCACCTTTAAAATCCATCGATTTTAATCTCTTCGATCTCCAGGAATTTGCCGACAACTTGGCCATCCCCTTCTTGGAGACCAGCGCCAAGAGCGCCACCAACGTGGAGCAAGCCTTCATGACCATGGCGGCGGAGATCAAGAAGAGGATGGGCCCCGGGGCCACGGCCGGGTCCTCGGAGAAGTCCAACGTGAAGATCCAGAGCAAGCCGGTCAACACCTCGTCCGGAGGCTGCTGCTGAGACCCTGAAAACACAGCCACGACCTGACCCCCACCCCCCCGAGCCCACGACCAGTCTCAATGTTACCATGCTCCACAGGGAAAGAGAAGCAGAGAGAGAGAGAGGGAGAGAGAGAGAGGAAGACTTTGAGTGGACCGGTGTGTGTGTAAGTGTGTGTGCAGAAACAGCACCAGATCCCAAAGTCAGCAATAGGACGGTAAGCCCATCCATACCCACACTGGGCGGTTCTTTTCTTATTTCTTTACCAAAACACACTCATACTGGAAAAAAAAAACCTAAATGTAAACCATTTTTAACAGTGTGTGAAGTTAACCAATGAAAGAAAACACATGTAAACAGATTTTCTTCTTCTTTACTTTTTGTTTGCCCTGTTCTTCCTTTTTTTTCAGTTTGTTAAACGAGTCACTTTTTTCTAAATACTGAAGATATAAAAACCACACAGTTGTCTTTATTTCGCTGTGGATAACAGCATGACTTTGGACCCTTGAATCTCCTCAGATCTCCTCAGATATTTGAATCACTTCAAATGAAGCACATGCTTAAAAAAACCCAGCATCATGCATGTTCAGATCACATGCTCCCCCCCCAGTTGCATGTGAGCGCCTGCAGTCATGATGCAGTCATGAAAGCGAGTGGCTTCCTGCTCAAACCTCACCCCGGAAGCATTTCCATAACTTCACGTTGTCGCCCCTTAAAAAAAAAAAGCTAAAAAAAAGCGATATGCCAGTGCCTTTGTGGCAGGAGATTTCCATGACATGTATGCCTTCGGTGCTCTTGTGTTGTCGGCGTATTCCCCTCATATGCCCACTACAGTCGTGACTTCTTACGTAGAGAATCCACTTTGTATGATAGCAGTAAACATTCCTGTATATATCTATATTCGGCTCTGTGTGTGCTCTGCTGGTATTCACGATACAATAAGCATGTGCTACATTGGGAGACGTGACGTCAGCCGTGTGTTTTCCTCTGCTAATGTCCTCAACCAACAGCACAACCACAACAGGAGAAAACGAAAACCTACCATCCCAGCTCGAGAATAATCTATAAACTGTATATATTTATACATAAATGTAAGAAGTGATTTGCAAATTGTGTAGAGAAGCAAGTGAAGCGAATGACATGATAAATAGCTGGAATTAGTACTCTCGGCACGTGATTTGTGGCTGCGGACATGACATTTTTGTGGCACAATGTCTACTATTAAAACAATGAAGGAGATCTTTGATAACGGCTGGTCCTCTCCGTGTTGTTTTTTCCTCCTGCACACTTTCCTCACACTTCAACACAGTTCAACCTTTTGTTTCAGGCTTTTCTCAGCCTCCATAAGCTGAGAGGAATGATGATCTTTGGCCTACATTTCTCAAGCTGCAGATTTAAACGGCAGCTTGTGTTTTCACCGGCCTGTAACTTTAAATATACTCCATTGATTCAGACTTTCAAAAATACAACTTCAACCTAAAGTTTGTGTCAACAAGCCGAAACATGTTTCAGTGGTCCTTTCAGGGTAAACAACTCCAATGGATCAATCGGTGAGAAAAATCAGTTTACTTAAAGGTGATAGAAAGGTTTCTCTAGCCTCTACGATGAAGATTAACAATTAAAAGAAACTACCAAAAACAATTGTGTTCATTTAATTTCAAAAATATATTTCACACAAATCAAATAGAAAAATGCTAAAATCGACACCTGAACAATACAAATCAAAAGGAGAACATTTAGAAGAACAATTACACATGAAGATAAATACAGTATATACTTTAATTTGACCTCAGCAAATAATAAGAATAACAATTAAGTCCGAAACACACGAAAATATTCCCCTTTAAAAATCAGACTTGAAAAACCACCACCAGACATACAGCATGGTATATAACATACAGTATTATGTATATATACAGGTCATTAATACACAAAGTACCATACATAAGACAATGAATGGTTACTCTTCAGGGTACACAAAGGTCATAAAGGTTATGTATTAAAGAGACCCTGAACTGTCTAAATTACTGCTTTGACTGCTTTAAATGTACCTTTACAAGACTCACTGCCATTACTCCATTATGTCACGCGCTTCACACAGCAGAACAACCTTTATATATACAGTCGATGAGAACAACACACACTGATGATGTGAAGTGTAGTAGCAGCTCCTCACCAGCAGGGGGCAGCGTCTGCTTCCTGCACACACATTTATTAACGCAGCAGCTCAGGGTCCAAGTCTCAAAAACAATGAAACACTGGGAGGTCCCAACACTTGAACATGGAGCTGGTGGTCTCTACATGATGAAGAAAGAACATTTAGGACTGAATACTTTCTTTAAAAATATCAAAAAGCAGCCATTGACAGGGTTTTCTTCTGCAGATGGAGTTTTTGTTCAGTTGTTGCTGTTAATACTGAACTCAGAAGCTGTAATGATTTCATATGTATCACTTACAGACTGATGAAGACCGTGTAATGGTTGGGAGCTCTGAAAACATACGGTAAGCAGCGATTAAAGAAGATATTTTTCTTCAACATGTTCACAGTTTTAGTGAAGTAAATGTAGTGTGGTGTTAGTGCTTTTCCTTCAATCAGAATGGAGTTCACACATACAAGGAGTTTGCTTTGGTGTCTGGTGGTGCAAACATAAGTAAACGAGTTGTAAGAGGTCAAAAATATATAACCTTAACAAGAATGAAGACAAGAATGTACACCACATTTAAATGTACAAAATAAAAAACAAATGACTACTGCTTTGCTCTGCTCTCAAAGTGGTCGCGCTTGTGTTCATGAACAGAGTGTCTGTGTGAACCCCCCTACCCTCATTTAGCAGCACACTCTGATTATACTGGGCAATAAAACAGAAAAGGAGCAGCTCAGCCCCCCCTCAACCCTTTCAGCTGCACAACAAAACACACAGTGAGCAGAGAGATGTTTTGGTGTGAAGGAATGGGAGGGGGGTTGTATTTCTGAGGAGCTGGGTCTGTTTGCCGCCTTCATTTGTAGCTGGTTGCTGGGTGATGGTTGGGGTGGCGGGGGGGCATTTGTGACAGCTGCAGAGTCCAACCCCCCCCCCCCCCACACACACCTCTGATGTGTGTGTGTGTGTGTGTGTGTGTGTGTGTGTGTGTGTTGTGTGTGTGTGTGTGTGTGTGTGTGTGTGTGTGTGTGTGTGTGTGTGTGTGTGTGTGTGTGTGTGTGTGTGAGGGGGGGGTTTATTATGAGTCCATGTGTGAAGTTCAGTCTCACTGCCAGGCTGCTGCTCACCAGCTGATGGCTCAGCGTAAAGAAACAAACCTGCAGTGTCACACAGCTGTCCCACAGACACACACACACACACACACACACACACACACACACACACACACACACACACACACACACACACACACCACACACCTGCTGCACGCCACAAACAAACTCCAATGTGTCCAACCTTCTTGTATACAGTATGTCTACCCTTTATTTAGAATCCGAATCCGAAATCCTTAAACCTTACTTTCTTTTGGTACTTTAAGTACATTTTGATGCTCGTACTTTTGTACTTTTACTTCAGGAACATTTTGTATGCAGGACTTTTACTTGTAACAGAGTATTCCTACACTCTAGTACACAATCTGAGTACTTCTCCCACCTCTGATAATAGTGGTAATTGCCAAACAGTTCCAAGTACACACAAAGGATGAACTAATAGTTACATTGACAGAAAATAATGTAGTATTTCTCATCTGAACGCCCTCCGTCTGCAGCCCTCTCTGAAACTCGTCTCCTCACATTTCTTCAGCCTGTTTGTACCACATGTTCTCTCTGTTGTTCGACTGACAGCTGTTCCTGGTGTCGCCACAAACAAAACGAACCCTGACGTGAACTCTGCCGACTCTTTACTGATCCACACATCCTGCGAGGCTTCTACTCATAAACAGTGACAAGCTTTTACTGGGTATTTTACGTGTGTGTGTGTGTGTGTGTGTGTGTGTGTGTGTGTGTTAGCCCCCTCATGACTCTTCTCCTGCTGTGTTAACACTGTGCAGCTGTTTTGTTTTTTAAATGTGCAACTCAATCTTAAAATCCATACAGTAACAGCTACTTTTACCTACACATGTGGAAAGTATTCAACTTCAATAAACCAATTGAGTGTTGCCAACTATTTCCCAATGAAATTAGCTAGCATTAGATTTAGGTTATGCATTGAATACAAGTTTTATATGAAGCAGCACAGAGAAACTGACACAATGAGTGATGTAAAAAAAACGTGAAGGTGTCCGAAACACTTACAGGTTTTCAAAGATTCAGCTTTATTGTTATTTGCAAATTACCTAGAGGGTTGGGAATGAACATCTTTAGTTTGAGGCTCCTCTAAAGCTGGCTACACACCAACCCGATTTTGGGAGTCAGAGGCCGTCAAAGGCAGTCGGGCATTCGCGGCGCCTTACTCAGGTTGGTGTGTCTGCACCGTCGTCTCTTTACGGCACCTTTTCACACCTCCCGATGCCTCCCGCGGCCGATTCAACATGTTGAGGGAGGTCAGAGAAAGTCGGGACAAGCAATCACTCTGATTGGCTGTTCACACTACCGCTGCCTGCTGGTAAGGACAGTTATTGCCACTCGTCGACTGAAGTATTTGCAGTGTGTTCGTGTGTTAGTGTGTTCAGTGTGTTCGGGCGGCGTATCGGGCGGCGTAGCGGGCGGCGTAGCCGACGCAGGCGGCGAAGCTGACGTAAAAGTCGGGACGCCTTCTGTACGCGTTCTTTGGTCTCAGGTGGGTGTGTAGCGGCCTTAAGTGGCCGTGTCAGACCTGACCTTTACCTCACCGACCTCTATTAAGCTTACCATTGATACAAAGATGCTAAATTGGCTGTAAATAGAAAGGATGTATGTTTCCATCATGTCTTTTCAGATGTGTGAAACCAGGCATGTGAAACTAGATAGAACATCCTGAACTTTTGACCTATGCGCACTATGCATTCTGGATGGGGCAATAAAAGCGTAAAAGTTCCAGCCACAATTCTGGAAGGCGCTTGTGGTTTTTGACACCTTGAGAGCGGTTACAACGGGTATGAAGACAATGAGGCACAGGATGCAGGCGACCTACGCAAAGGGTCGAATCAACTTCCTGGGCCAGCGAATCGTAGAGACAAGCTGTCCCTATTGTCTCTGTTAATAAATGAAGTCTCTGTTAATAAATTAAAGTATAAAGTTTGCATATTTGAAATTAAATGTTTAAAGAAAAAACTTGATTCTAAACATGACATTGACAATGTGTTCTGCTTTCATGAAAAATGTTCATATTCCCTCTCTTTAAAATTGCATGTTATTACTATGAGTCTTTATTTATTTTATTTTTACATTTTTAATTGTTCATTAAGTAAAAGTTGAACATATGTGACCTCCTTCTCCCTCAAAGATAGAAAAGGGGAAACTGATGCAGAGAGGGAGGAGGCAAGAGACTATAAAAGATGAAGTGTGAAGAGAAAGGGGGGCTTCTTGGGCTTTTTAGGCTTTTTGAGGCTTGAAGGCTTCAGAGCTTGGGGGAAGTTTTCTGAGGCCCAAGCCCTGGGCCTGGGCCTGGGCTCTTTTAAGACGGCTTGTTTAGGACATTTGACTTGTGAACCTGTTGCTTTGTATTTTGACTTGGTGTCTTTGTTACTTTTTAAGGATTCTTTTAATCCTCAATTTTGTTAAAACCTTAATAAAACCGGTTTGTACTTTGTACATTTCGACCCAATTCCTGGTCTCTCTCTCGTGGTCTCTGAAGGTATCTGCTTGGTCTTAGAGTCAGGTAATTACACCCTTCCTTGGAAAAGGCTGATATTAGTTGATAATTTGGATTTTAAATTGTTTAAGGGGAATAGAAACTCTGCTAAGGTTAAACTATAGTTTCACATTGGTTACTGTGGTTGAGGTGGTTTGATTAATGTTGAAATATGACATATGCTCTACTGATGTGGTAATATCACTGCTGTGATATTAAATATTTGACTCTGGCTGTGTTTGATATTACATTTGCATTGTTTTGATTGATATTTGGGGATCAAGAGAGGGTTGGGTTAGGGACTGTGGGTTCTGAAGCTGCCCTAATTACCAGGGAGTCTCCCATTAACAGAGGGATTCTCCTCCAGGGGCAGTTTAGATACTGCTCTGGGGTTCTACCAGCCCACCAACACCTACTACACCATACACACCGTTTTGCTATCCTAGCGGTCGGACATCCGTGGCTGGAGTGCCTAAAATAGGGATACGACGGGCAGTT